CCCATTTGGACCAGCTTGAAGTTGAACTCCTGCTGCCTGCCCATTTAACACATATGAACAGTAATCAACAACCCAGTTTTATGTCAGTTCCGTAACTCAGTCCAACTAGTGACAAGCCACAATTATCCATTTTTTCCAGGCTTGGAGAGGCTATGTGGCCCAGTTTCTTGGGTTCGTCTGTGTGTTCTTTGCTAGAAATGTTGGAATTTGTATAATTTTTGTGGAGATTAAGTTAAAAATTAAAATAAAAATATATTTAATGGGAAAGGGGTTTTGGGGTGACTTGGCATTGATTATTGTGTGCGAATACATTCAAACAATCCGGTCAAAAATTTGACCTGTGGATTTGTCTCAATGCAGAGAATTCGGTGTTTTTGTGGAAAAAATGGAAATTATTATTAGTCCATATAACAATAATGTCATATTTAATGGAAAAGGGATTTTGGGGTGACTTGGCATTGATTATTGTGTGCGAATACATTGAAAGAATCCGGTCAAAAAAGTGACCCGTGGATTTGTCTCAATGCAGAGAATTCGGTGTTTGTGTGGAAAAAAATGGAAATTATTATTAGTCCATATAACAATGATGTCATCATCATGATTATGTTAAGCATCATTACATACTTTCCTTTTAGTATGGTCCAAGAGTATCACGAACCAGAATGTTTGGCAATGAAAATCATGTATCTAAGTGAAGTTTGTTTCAAAATAAGGAAAGAGAAAATTGTAGCAATGATCCTTTTATTTTAACGTAATTAGAGTAATGGTTCTTCAACTAAAAATTTATGACAATTGATCATTTAACTCATTAAAACGCACAGCTATGGTTTGTTTCATCAACTTCATCAGAATTCCGTTAAAATAACTCATGTTGGAATGACTATTGCTATAATTGAATTAAAATAAAAGGACCATTGCTCCAATTGGGTTAAACTGAAATGACCATTTATGTAATTGGGTTCAAATTGAGAACACATTGCTACAAAAGTTGTGTTTTCAAGCAACATGCTAATTTCTCGACCGTTCCGAAGCACCATCATTTCACAAGATAATTGTAGAAAAAAAGGATTGAATATGATTGAAATTTAATCTTGAAGAAAAAAACCTAGCATTTGGATTGAAGATGATTGAATTTGGATAACTTAAATTGGATAGAATCAAGATCAAATCTTGAAAATTAGGGATTTGCCCATCCAACCATCGGGGTGATTGGCACGTATTAATATTTGGTGAGATTTTTGGGGCCCATGAGCGCGATCGCGACGGTATCATTGAAGATTTTTTGGAATCGCGGTGGAGGTGACCGGGGCAAATCGAAGGGAAGAGCTCGCACTTCAATGGCAAATGCACGTTCATATCGCAGACGGTGGCGAGGGAACTACCGTCGACAAAGGTGACTAAGATGAAAATGGCACCGCGTAGACGACGAGTCTGATGTCACCGTGGAAGGGGTTGAGAGGGGAGAGGAAAGGGAGTGAATGCCAAGGGATATAAAAGTATGGAAGATCATGTAAGCAACGATGCCGGACATGCCGGCGCAAGAGGATTGGAGTAGGAGGTGGGTGTGGGTGAAATTCAGTGTTTTGGGTACTGGAAGAAGAAGCTGAGGTGGTATGTTGATGTTACCCTTTTACCCTCATCCACGGAGGGTATATTTGGCCACGTGATAGATTTTAACAAGAAATTGATGGAAAATTTGAAAATCAAATGTCGGGTTAGTGATCGACTATTAATAAAAGTTTAAGAAGGTAATTGACTAAAATAAAAGTTCAAGAAATAAATTGACATCGAATTACAAATTCAATGTTATACATACACACACACACACACGAAGTCATGAAAAACGTGGAGTTACCGAATGAAGGATGACCACCTTGTAAAAGACTCCTTGCAGGATCATGCATGCATGTAAGTTTCTTAAAAATAATACTGTATAAAAAACGGCCTTCTAGCTAGCCAGCCGTTCTTATAAATACATGGCAAGGGCCCTTATCTTGTGAAGCCATGAGGAGACACTGAAGAGAGATCAAACAATATTAAGGAAGAAGAGATATATTAAAGACGTTGGAAGAGATACCTGTCACAGGAGAGATGACAAAAATTACGATATATCGAAACGCAACTTATATCATCCTCCTGTGACAAGTACCCCCTACAACCTCTTTCTGAAGCTTTATGCATGTGTATTGATCTGTCTGTCTGATAAACAAGAGGAGAGGGGAGGCCAATTAGTGAAGAATTAGTGGTATACCAACTCTCTATCATTATTTGTTAATATTATCTTAATAGAAAATTAGATTTTAATCCTTAAATAAGATGAAGTTTAGAAAAATGTCTAGATTCTATTTAATGTCAACATATTAAATGTCTTTTTTTTATTTATAATTTTATGGTGTTCATAAATTGAATTTTTTGAAAATATTATAAATTTTAATTCTCATTATGGTTAGTATCTTATATAAGAAAATATTTTTCGTTACACATGTTTTTGCATATTTTCTTATGTGTCATTAATTCATTACAATATATTTAGGTACAAACATTTCAATATATTAGGTTAGTATAATATGTTTAGGTACGAACATTTCGGTACACTAGTTTATTATAATACATTTAGGTACCGACATTTCAGAACATTAGTTTAATATCATATATTTAGGTATGAAATTTTTCGGTACACTTATGTTTTTGCATATTTTCTTATGTGTCATTAATTCACTACAATATATTTAGGCATGGACATTTCGGTACACTAATTTAGTAAAATATATTATGATACGAACGTTTAGGTACACTAATTAGATGAAGTAAAATAAATATAATGAATTAAAATGGGTATAATAATAAATAATGTCAATTTTAGTATAATGACATTAAATAAGATATCTTAAATATTAAAACAAAAATATAATAAAATTTTGAATTAAGTACACATCAGAGGATTAAAATCAATATTCAATCTAACACCAGGTTTTTATTAGATTTTAATCTTCTTCAAAGATTAAAGTTCAAAAAACCCTTATTTTAAACATCTTTATGCATATATATATATATATATATATATATATATATGAGGTTGATCAGTTGCAGCTAGCTCCATAAAAAAATATACATATTAAATTAATTTTGTATGATTTATGTGCATATATCAGCATTTATGTGATTCATTAAAAATTGGACATGCATTCTTGGGCATTTTTGCATGCACTTGTATAATGCCACTGTTACAATTTTACTTAAATTATAACACATATATTTATTTTTAGAAAACTTCATTTTAATCCTTGGCAAAGATAACTTTTAGACTAAAATCATGAATAAGATCAAAATCTAATTTTGTTCTCTTGGTACATTAATCACCTCATTTATTAATTTTATTTTGATGTTTTAGTTATTTCTCTTGTTCTTCCTATTTTTAATGTATTCATTTTATTTCATTATAATTTTCATTTTCATTTCATTCATCATAATATATTTTGTTGTAAACATTTAGATAAAATAATTTTTGTTTTACAATATATTTCAATATACTTTGTCTTCTTTGTTTAGGAACATTAAATTCATTATAATACATTTGTGTGCGTACATTTAGGCGTACATACATTTCAATACAAAGATTTAGGTAATTCAATATAATATATTTTGGTACATACATTTCGGTACACACATATTGGCACATTAATTTAATATAATAAATTTCGGTGCATACAATTGGGTACATACATTTCGATACACACATTTAGGTACATTAGTTTAATATAATATATTTCGGTACTAACATTTCAATTCATGCATTTTGGTATTAGGTACATTAATTAAGTTTTTCAAGTTTGAAGAATGTTAAATAAAATTAATAAATTAAAAAAAAACTTTTGTTTGGTAAAAAAAATAAATTAAAATGTGTATATTAATAAATTTTTTGGACCTGGATCTAAAAACCCCTTGAATAAAATACACATTAGTTATTTTAAATTAAGGACACATCAAATGACTATAATCAATATGCAATCTAACACCAGGTTTATTTTAAATTTCAATCTTCTTCCAGAATTAAAGTTAGAAAACCCCTTTATTTTTTATGATAGATTCAGTTCTGGGACATATCAACCATTGCACCCATTTATAGTATAACGGGTTAATTACAATAATGGCCTAGCTTCATAGAGAAATATTGGCCTAGCGTCATGGCTATAAATATGGGGTTATCTAAGCTCTTGAAGCCATTAACACGCTGAATAAAGAAACAAAGAAGATATAAAAGAGGTTGAGGGCTTTATGTCACAAGAGAGATGGAACAATCCGCGCTCTAACTAGAAGCATGTTCCGTTCTCCTGTGACATGAAACCCTTTATTTCTTTATGCATAAGTACTAATTTCTTTATTCAATTAAAGATAAATGCAGCATTTTCCAAATTCATTGAGAGGGAGAGGCAAAGAGGCATCTCTAGAGAACTGATGAATTAAGAAAGGTTGGGAGATATTTATGCTCACAAGAGAGATGGCACTAATTGTGCTGCAACTACAAAAGCTCTACACAAGTGTCACAACTTTGATCTCTCTCTATGACATTTTGGGTTTTTTCTTCCTTCCGACATGATTTTTATCTTATGGTTGTAGATTACTTGAATAATATGCTATCAATTACTTATGCTTGGCTTTGTCAAGGTATAATTGTTTTAGTTAGGCATCTACTGTGGATGCCATACATTGTTAATTAAAATAGGCCCATCGTGATAATGATAATCTGATGTGATTGATCAATAACCACACTAAAACCTGGATTAAAAAAAAGATCATTCTATTTGGAGCTGTACATATAATAAACTGTTTTGCAATGACAAATTTCATGAATAATTCATCAACTCATATGTATGAGCCTATGGTTAGGTCTTAAATTTAAAAATAAATATATAGTACTGTTGAGATCTTTATATATAATATGTATTTATAAATAAAGATGTACTAAATATGTGTTATATATTTTCCATGACCATGAGGCTTTAATAATTTTTGTGAGAGAGAAATTTGGAGTTTATATGTTTGTACCTTATGAAGTACAGTACTAGTACCACTTTACAAAAAGAAAAAAAGGAAAATGAAGAAATACTATACTGGCTCTTTCATGCCTATATATAAAGCTGCATCATGAGGATTTTGGAGCCAGCAGATTGAAAAACAGTACTAAAAGCGAGATCAAAATATCAAAGCGTAGGGACTTCTATCGAAGGTGAGATGGCGCCGAATGCCATGTATAACGGTAGCTGCGATTACAAGCTTTATATAGCTAGCCAATTCAGGCGGCGAGCTTCATCTCTCCTCGATTGAAGCCTCTCACGCTTTGATTCCACGGAAAAGAAACCCATCTTTAATTTGTTCGCAAGATTGGAGAAAGATCAGGTGAAGTAGTATTACTTTAACCTTTTTCTGTATTTTGTCGTCTGTCTTGAGTTTTTGCTTCATGCGTATATTACTGTACTGTAGGATTTTGTTTAAGAACTAAACCTATCTTCTTGGATCAAAGGATCATGGTAAGTGCTCATATACATGCTAGGGATCGAAAAGACAGAAAGTATGTGTGTAAAATGTGCCGAAAAATACAAGAAAAAGTAATAAAAAAAAAATGGTACCTAGTAAATGTTTTTCCTCTCCTTTTTGCTAGATCCGGCCACCTGCGACGTCCACTTCTACATAGGCAACGGAGAAACGCATGGCCTGGTCGGCGGGGGTGTTGATCATTAGCTTGCTAGTGAAGGACTCAAGTACATGATTTCTTCTGAGAAGGGTATATTACTTGTCCAAATGAAGGCTGAAGGATGAAGAGCTAATTGAATCTTCTGTTCACAAGGTTCACCGCAAGTTTTGTCATTTAACATGTGATTGCAGTATTAATTTGGACTTTAAAATCATCTAAGCCTGCAACTGGTGTTTTTCTATTATCTTTTGCTAAATGTTCAAGCCAGCTATTGTTTGGAGATGGCCGCAAAGCCTATTTTCCCTTAGTTTAATTATGGTTTGACTTTAATTTTTACGGCCCAGAATAGTATTGAACTTATGGCGTGTTTACGTAACGGTAATAAAAATATGAGAAATTGAATTGAGGAGGAATTGAATTGAGGAGAAGTCAGAATCGGATTCATGTTGAAGCTGTTTACTTAAATGTTCTGGAATCGGAATAGAATTCCATAAAGCTGTTTATTAATTCAGCAGAATCGAAATATAAACTAGTATGATTACTAAAATGCCCTTGTCCCAAATCAAATATTTTATATACTTTAATGGGCTTATAAAGATAGTCTTGGAAATAAAAAAAAAGTAAGTGAGGGCATAAAAGGAACAAAAGTGTCATTCTGATTGCCCAAACGATCAGGAATTGGATTACCACCTATATCTAGGGAATCCAATTCCACCAATACAAGGAATTGAATTCCAAAATTTGTGTGGGCCCCACAGCTTTTTTGATTTCTCCATGTTTAGTAAACACTGGATTACTCCGTAATCGGAATTCAATTTCACATTTTCATTCCGATTACGGATACGTAAACACACCCTTTGGCTATTTTCAATGAAGATGGGTAAAAGTTTAAAAACCAAAAAATGACATGATTTATTCAATAATTCATCTCCAATTAATGGCTGGACCATTATTCTATTGAGCCCACCAGGCCACTATTTGGCCAAAGGGACACTAGGTTGGCCACATGTAGCCTCCCTCTTAACCTTTTTTTAGGGCTCACCTTCTCAATTGCAATAATTGATTCAAATTCAATGGTTATATTTGAAAACATCCAAATGTACTTTAACTTAAAAAAAACCAATAAATTTAAAGTATAAACTTCAAACTAATAAATTATTGAGGGGCTAATATAGTCATTTCAGTTGGAGTTGGTATATGAGTATGACCTTACATTGTTCATTTTTAAAAATAATTTTTTTACGGAGTTATAATTCTAAACAGGGCTATATTTAGCAATTTTGGTTGGAGATGACCTTATAGGAAGCCTTTAAGGAAAGAAATTCCTTTTTTTTTTTCCTTACAAAAATAGGGATTAGTTATACGATCACACAGCATCAAACTTCGATTATTCGAATCATCTATTTTTTAAGTTGCACCTCATAGATCATCCTTGCAAAATATTAGCCATATCGGAAATATTTGACGCATCTAACTGAGTTAAAAGAAATAAACGAATATTTTGTTCTCTAAGAAACATTAAAATTTCATTGTGATAATTAAATAGGCAAATAATTTCAAATTGACTTGAATTTTTGTAAGGATGATCTATGATTATTTAAGGTAAATTTTATTTAAACCCATCTAACCTTTTTATACATCCAATTTACTCTCTTTACCTATATTGTTTTTTATTTAAGAATTAATATCTCTTTAAACCCAAATTTATTATCTAAACTACTCTCTCAAACCTAATTCAAAATGTAAAATTATCTTTACACCCATATGCTAATTTGCTTATAACAATGCATGATTGGATTGGGATTAGGATTGGGGTTGAGAATGAGATTGAGACTGAGAGGTGACGGCTTGCTGTAGGCGTTTTTTCCTGTATCTCCATGCTACTTGAATGCATCCTTCTACAAGGCCTCTCCAGTAAGGTGACTCATACCTGCCATAAAAACCAAACTTCAACATCAATGTTCTGTCATAAACCATTCCCACATGCATCCTAGACGCTTTCTTGCAGACCATGTATGTATATGTCACCAGTCTTCAATCGTGTATGCATACATGAGATATGAATAGCTTTAATAAAATAAACCTTATCAATCGTGTATGCATACATGAGATATGAATAGCTTTAATAAAATAAACCTTATGGCTCATTGAACACGTGGTTTGCACAAGAATCTGGAGAAAACACTGGTGACTTCTTCAATGTCAGTTGCGGCAATCAATGGAAGAGACCTATATGGGTGGACTGCTCTCCATAGAGCCTGTTTTCAAAGGGAAGATAGAAGTCATTCTAACGCTGCTTGAAAAAGGTGTGGATATGGATGCTAAAGATGAGGATGGATACACCGCGTTGCACTGTGCAGCAGAGTTGGGACATGCGGATGTGATTGAGATGTTGGTAAAGAAAGGAGCTGATGCTGAAGCTTGAACTAACAAAGGTGTGACTGCACTGCAGATTGCTGAGTCTTTGCACTACGTTGGGATTACTAGGATACTTATTCATAGAGATGCAACAAAAGACAATAGTAATATGGCACATATCTTGACTCAGGCCTCAGTTTCATTTGGGAAAAAAAATTCTATGGGACTAGAGGAGGAGAATATCAAAGGAGGAATGAAGAAGAAGAAATTGAGTCGAGCTAGAGCTCTTTGTGGGAGCTTCGATCGTTCGATGTCATTGGCTGTTGTTTAGCTAGTATAGTTGGAACTAATATTGGTGCATTGGTATTTTGATAAACGTAGGATAAATTGGAGGATTCAAAACTTTAAAATCATCATCCATCAATAAAAAAAACGTGTTTTTCTCTATGAGAGCTTTTAGGGTTTTAGCCGGAATTAACATAGGATAAACAAAAAGTGATCCTATGGTTTAATTGTAGTGTTTGGGTTTATTGATAATTTTGAGTTTTATTATTAATTTCATTTAGTACTTAATAGTAATTATGCAATAGGGTAAAATAGACAATTAACATTTAAAATTTAAGTTGGGTGTAAAAATATGTTATATGGGTTTAAATAAAAGTTCTCATTATTTAATTGCGCAATAGGATTTTTTTTTTTTTTTAAATTAATAGATGGTAAAGAGGTAAATTTAAGATGCTCATGATGAGGTTTTAATGAGGCATTTACTCTAGACTAGTCATACTTTTGTATGGGTCAATGAGCATCTTGAATATATGAAATGCAATTAATTCACTTTTTTTTTTCTTCCTTTGACTACTATAACACCGCAGCAAAGGGTTTTATGATTTTCTTTTGATATGCACCCTTACTTTGAGATTTGTGTTAGCAATTATTTGTACTTGTCGAGAGCTGACAACAACAACTGCTATCTTCTTAAGTCCTAATACGACTACTTCTTAAGTTTTACACACTTAAGGGGAGTGTTGTAATTAGTGTGTTAATTTAGAAATGTAATTATGTACATGTAAACTTAAATAGAATCCCAATAGGAGTTGAAGATCAAATCATTATAATCTTTGAGTTACTTGTAAGGCAATGAAACCCATCATGATTAGTATTAATAAACGTACAAGGTATGGGTGGGTTGAACATACAATTTTCATACCCGAGCTCGTTCTCTTTCTTTGCCATCCCTCTCTCTCTCACCCACTCTGAAAGTTATTCTCACATGTAACTGAGTTGTTGATTTTTAATCATTTGTGTTAATGTGCAGGCAGCAGTAGTTCAACTTCAAAGTGGATATGAGTTATGTATATGTCCATGATGCACTCTTCGGCCTGCTGCCTTTCTGTGTCCAGTTCACATGTAACGACCCAACATTTTGTTGTTGGGCTAACCACAACACCCTTTGATATTCAAGGTGAATTTCAAAATCTATCAATTTAAAATTTTTCTGTATATTGCACTAGCTTCTTGCCACACAACTACGTATGATAATCTGCACTTTTACATTTTATTTTATATGAAACTTCATTTTAATCTTTGGCAAAGATGACTTTTAGACTAAAAGAGTGAGTAAGATCAAAATCTAATTTTAGTCCCTTAATACATTAATCACCTCATTTATTAATTATATTTTTTATGTTTTAATTATTTCTCTTTTTCTTCCTAATTTTAATGTATTAATTTTATTTCATTATAATTATAATTTTCATTTTATTCATCGTAATATATTTTGTTGTAAACATTTAGATAATCTAATTTTTATTTTACAATATATTTCGATATACTTTGTCTCCTTCATTTAGGTACATTAAATTCATTATAATATATTTCGGTGTATACATTTAAGTACACACATTTAAGTACACACATTTCAGTACATACATTTCAGTACAAACATTTAGGTACATTAAATTAATATAATAAATTTCGATACATACATTTAGGTACATACATTTCGGTACACATATTTACCTACATTAGTTTAATATAAAACATTTCGGTGTATACATTTGGATATATACATTTAGGTACTAACATTTAAATACATTAATTCAATATAATACATTTCGGTATTAACATTTAGGTACATTAATTGAGTTTTTCAAGTTTGAAAAATGTTAAATAAAATTAATAAATTTAAAAAAAAAAAAACTTTTGTTTGGTCAAAAAATATATTAAAATGTGTATATTAATACATTTAAATATTTAATGAGAGACATTGAATAACATACACATTAATTATTTTGAGTTAAGACATCAAGGAACTATAATCAATATGTAATCTAACATCAGATTTATAACCACCGTGAAAATGGATTTCCCCCGTCATAGGCCGCTACACACTCCACAAAAGGAGGATGCCCGCACCTCGTAAATACATATTGGCGTATTGAACATTGACGAAGCATGAAGGCCTAAGTTTTCGGGACATGGGTCATGCGAAAGAGATGTGACTCTGACATACAGTTTGGATGAATTTAGCCTGTCCGCATATTTTGGGTTTGCAACTTTGCATCGAACGTCCGGATGTATTATTGATCGGTTTAGGGCCCTGTCCTCAATTATATCTCTTTTTTGTTTTTTTTTTTCTAATCTTTTGACAGATGTCTTTTAACTTAACTCCGCAACTAACATAATTATTTAAAAGCTGCTTTAATTGGCCTAATTCGGTAGAGTACCCAACAATCACGAATGAACAATAAATTGACATGCCAAGTCTGGGCCAATCAAAGCTTACAGGGTACTTTTTTTGTTTTAAGATAATAGACTATATTTTTAAGTTAGTCTTGAGTTCAGTTTTTAAAAATAGTCCTACCAAACAAGTTTTTAAAGCCT